TTGATTTTACTTAGGGTCCCTAGGATTAGTGCGAATGGGGGAAATGCGTAGAAGTCTAGGCCAGGCATGGGCAATCTCCAGGTAGCTCGGAGCAGAGCCATAAACTCGAATTAGAAATCCAATAAAGTTTACAACCATTTCAATAATAAGGGTCTTAGTACTAGTATAGTGGGGGCAGTAGTGGGGGCTTCACAGGTGCTAAGGTGGGGAGTATCCCATGAAGCATCTGGCAAGAATTTATCCTCCGGAAGGGTAAAACTTGACGCGCATCTGATCATTTTTTAATGCACACATGAAAAAAAATTGAAATTTTTCTGATCGACTTATTTCGCTGCTTTTCCTTTACTTGAGTCTCATTTCTCCTCTTTTCCTTTTCTTAAGCGTCACCCCCACTTCGGTTGATCTCAGCGGAGGAGAAGGGCCTTTACGACCTGGGTCATAAAGGCCCATCACTCGATACAATGGGCTTTCGTCTACCCTTTGTTACGCACTAATAGAGGTCGGGAGCACGACTTGCTCTCAGAGCAGAGTTTGCCCAGCCCTGGTCTAGGCCATACCATGAGACCGTGAAGGCGTCAATAACTGTTGCTCTGGGTTCAGGAAACCAAGAGAAGAATTTGTCACATTTGGCATTTTCGCCACGTGCGAAGAGATCCACCCCCGGTTTCCCAAACGCCTCTGTAATCAATTTAAACACTGAATCGTTTAATTCCCACTCCGTGTCTATATTCTTTATTCTTGATAAGTAATCTGCCTCTGTATTTTCGTTTGAGGGGATGTTAGCAGCAAAAAGAAAAATTTTTCTTCTCTCTCCCCAATGCCATATTTCTCTGGCTAATGCATTGTATTTAACAAATCTTGTTCCCCCCATTTTATTGATGTAGGAAATGGCCGTGGTATTGTCGATTCTTAACAGGATCTGCCAGTTACTAACGGCATTCCCCATCTTTTCTAGAGCTAGCTTCACCGTAAACAATTCTTTGTAATTAATATGCCACCTCTTTTGCTCCTCAGTCCATAGACCAAAAATTCTGTGGTTACCCTCAACCGCCCCCGAGCCACTATTCGATGCGTCTGTAAAGATTGTCAAGGCAAAATCCGCTGTCTTGATATGACTTAATCCTGACTTTAAATTTTTCTCCCACCAATTTAAATCATTTGAGATTGACTTTGGCATACACATTTTTCTCGAATATTGGAAGTCTTCGGTTACTAGTGCGAAAAGCTTTTCTTTTTCCAAATTTTTTGTGTAAAGTCAACCATAATCAATTGCCGGACATGCTGCTGTTAGTTTCCCGATTAAGTGAGAAAATTCTCGAATTGAGCATTTTTCTCTAGTTTTGAAGTCTTTAACAAGTTTAGATAGACTATGTCTTTTTTCTTTTGTCAGTTGAATTACGCATTCCTTTGAATTTATAATGAACCCGAGAAATTTACATTTGCAAGATATTTCCTGAGATGTCTTCTCCCAATTGATTAGGAATCCAATAGACTCTAGCAATTGTATTGTATATCGCATGTTTCTTTCGCATTTAATTGATGTAGATTCTATACATAGGAAGTCATCTAAATAATTCACAGACGTAAAACCTTTCCTTCTCAAGAAGCTCATAACAGGTTTATCAGGATTTTCGTGAAAATGAGAGGTGCTGTACATAAGCCGAAAGGTAAACATCTGAATTCGTATAACTGGCCTAGAAATTGAAATCTTAAACATTTTCTGCTATCCGCATGCATGGCTAATAAATACTATGCATCTTTTAAGTCAATAGAGCACATAAGGTCATTTGGGAAAATCAGTCTAACTGCTGTCCTCAGGTCCTCCATCTTAAAGTGTGCTGATTTAATAAATTTGTTTAAATTCTTAAGATTCAGAATAAATCGGAAAGAACCCTCTGGTTTTGGAAGAAGGAAATACGATGACAAAAACTGATTTTTTACTGGGAGACACTTCTCAATAGCCCCTTTTTGTATGAAATTATTTATGGCCGTTTTATAATGGTTTATCTCTAACTGTTGTATTGTTATTTTTGGTTCTACTAGCTGTCTCGCCTCTTTCCCGAATACTATTTTATAACCTGATATGCAATCTAATACGAATTCATCATTTGTTCTTTCTTGCCATTCTTTAACGTAAGCTCCTAGTCTGCCCCCAATTTTACTCACGTTATTTTCGTCTACCTCCTGTACGGGAGCCTCGACGATTTCTGGCTCTGATTGGCTCTGGGGCTCTGTAGTCTTGGGTTGAAGAATTACTGTTTGCTCTTGAACTGGGGTCTCTGTCTGGGAAGGCCTGCTGGTTGATTGCCCGTTTGGTTTGAGAAAGGTCTTTTTCCTAACGGGCTTCTCGAGTTTAACTGTGTTTTTATTGGAAGAGATCTCATTGACTGGGCCTTGAGATCCTGTCCGATTTTTGCCACCAATTTGGCTTCCTTAATTTTCTCCCCCAGATCTTTCCCAAATAGCGTGGAGTCAGTCTTTGACTCGTTCAGCATATCTCGAATGGGTTTATTAATTCCTGGTTTAATGATCGCTTTTCTCGATTCAGATTGTTGGAAGTGAATCTCTGATAAGAGTTTCCCGACATCTGATAACCAGGATAAGAATGTTATTCTGTCAACCATCTCATCGTCTACCAACAGAGTTGACATAGCTGCACCCAGTGCGTGTAGTGCTGAACCAGCTAAGCGTTGAGTTTCTGCCATGTACTTATCTCGTTTAATTGAGGATTCGTTCATAGATGCGGCAGTCTCTCTATTTAATTGGGGTGCATCTAAACCTTCCGATCTCGAGTAGACAGAAAGTAATTCTTGTTTCTCGTCTCTTTTGAGGCCATTAATCACCCAGTGTCTCCATCTGGTGATGAGAAATGCGTGAATTGGAAAATCTAATGCTTTAGATGCTGTCGGATGTTCACCCAAGGCTTCCAGGTACTCATTTGTTAGACCAGAGTCCTCCTCGATATCATTTATAACCTCCTCATCAGGATTTTCCCCCTCTGCAAATAGGAGGGGAGTTTGTTGTTGGTTTATTTATTTATTTATTTTATTTATTGTTCGCTTCTGGTCTGTTTTGCCCCTCGTGCAAACTCACCAGTTCCTCGTCTGATATGTCCTACCTCTCGTGTAGGCTCATCAGTGTATTACTACATCATTTTTATTTTTATTTATTTTTTTTTTTAACTGGATCGTCATTCTTCTTATTATGCGATTCGTCCCCGTGGCTTGACACTGAATGATCGCCGTCATCCGGTTCACCGACATCTTTATTATCGTTCGATTGCATCATCCGTTGTAACTCCTCAAATTGCCTTTGCATTTCCTTAAATTTCTTTTGTAAGGCTTCTTTCCCGTCTTCTTCAGCTTCCCTTTTTTCTCCTCTCTTCATTGGGTCACTTTTTGAACTCATTTTTCTCGACTGATATGAAAGAACTACCGAAAATAAAAAGTCTAAACCCACGTTATTCGCCTAGCGCACAACAAAAACGAAATGAGGAGTTGCCAGGATGCCGGGTGATAGGAGGGTGGCGTGGGGCCTTCTCTTTTCAGATTCTAGTCTAAAATGTTGTGACACCTAGTGGCGACGAGACGCACTACACCTGTAATCTCGGAGAACGAGGCCGAAGTATAATATTTGTAATTTATGTGATATATTTGTTAATATCTTCGTTAGGAAGGTTAATATTATTTGGGATTTTTAAGATAACAGTGCTGCTTTTTGGTCATTATTAAATAGGGTGGTTCTTATTTTGGTATTTATTCAATTATTAATCCTCAATCTGGAGTGTATCAGGGCTAGGTCCAGGAATGTACTTGCGTACATATAACAGGGTCACCAGGCGGCGATTTTTACCAACCATTTTTATTGATTTTTCCAGATCAGGGTAGATCGTAAAAAGCTCTGAATTAAATATCAACTATGTGGTTCGAAAAGTGTCAATTCTTCGCGTGATTGACTTCACTCGATTAACTGTAAAAAATCAAAAAAACTGTGCAGTTCCTTACTCTCGCACACACAGTATACACACTTATGACCCACTCAGCTGATTGACTCGTTCGCTCACCTCAGATGACCAGTGGCCTTTTACCTTTGACACCTGAGGTGCCACTTGATGGACAGGTGTAATTGACCATCGCGATGATCGACACCTTCCACCTTGCGGTTTATCACTCTCTCTCATTTGCATATCGTCGTTCGAGAGTGTTGACGCGCATTTCGCAGAACTTCGCTTCTTTCTCTTTAATTAGACCTGCTCATTATTAGTTCTTCTCAGAACTAACTCGATAATTCACTCAATTATATTACGTATTGCTCAGCTCTTTATTGTGACATTCAAGTGTAATTAGTGACTTTTTTTGACAATTAAACTCGACTTTCTTGACCAACGCCACGCGAGTGATTAAGTGATCCTCTCACGCATCCTCCCGTAATCCGAAAAAATCTCGTCCATCTCCTAAAAATATTCCCAAAACCAGATCCCGCATCGAACATTTTGGTCCTTTTTCGCGCCTAATTAGTGCTTTACGGGAGTGTTAATTGGACAACGTCAGTGTTCAGTGGGGCTTAAAGTGCAGTGTCGCCGCCCAAGAAAATTTGAATTCGTCCAGCTCAAATGGTGCTCATCCTGTTCTTCTCATGCCACGTCAGAGACCTGCTCTACCGACCCAACAACTAGGCGCACCTTCATCGACCAGGTCAAGGCGGCAAAATTCAAATAGATCAGCTCAACTAAAGGGAAGTGAAGATTATTTCTCTTTGATTTTATTGAATTTTCTCACCTGCTCCGGATCTGGGAATTGCTGCCGTCTCACTTTATTTAGTTTTTTTTTGGCTTTTCTCTTTCTTCTTTTTTTTGCTGCTTTCTCCTCTGTTATTGGCCTGCGTCCTTAGACTTCTCTCTCGATCATCTGCTGTTATTCGCTACCTAGATTTCACTGCTTCCTTGCTTTCGTTCTATTTTGACTTTGCTCTTGGCTTAAAACTATTACGAAAAAAACAACATGGCAACTCTCGAAGCAGTGATATCGTTGCAAACGTCTCGCGCTGCCTTCATAGAAGGCATTTTCAAGGAGTCCAATGAGGAGGATATTAAACAGCTCGGTGTTACAGCTCTCGACTCCAAGCTGATGATGCTCGAGAGTTATTGGGCTAAGCTGGAAGCTTCGCATGAGAAACTAGTTTCTCAAAAAATCGAGAACTTGATCTCTCTCGATTATTTTAAACAGCAGGTCTTCGATTTCGCTCTGACGAGCTTCGCCACTGCCAAGGTGGCCCTACTTCAGCTCCTGGAGAAGAAAGGCGCCCCAAACCTGAACCAGTCCTTACGTGGGGCTGGGGAAGTTCATTTGTCCAGCTCAACAAGACGTGCTCCGCCTGAGATCGCCTTGCCGAAATCTTCAGGAGGTTACCAGGAGTGGAGGCCATGGCGAGATCTCTTCCAATCACTGGTCGGCAACAATCCAGATATTTCAGGGGTCGAGAGGATGCACTACCTCCGCCTCTGTCTCTCTGGTGAGCCTCTCAAGTTCATCTCCAACTTGCCCGTCTCAGAAGATTCATTTCGCATTGCCTGGAGGACTCTCGTTGATCGCTACGAGAACAAGCGCTTACTCGTTGCAGTTCACCTAGACCAGCTCCTGAATCCAGCTCAAATGAAATCGCACAGCGCCTCGGACCTCAATCTCTTGCCCAGCTCGATCTCTGAAGCTCTCAGTGCTCTTAAAGCACTGGATCAGCCAACTGATCATTGGGGTCCTGTGGTCGTTCATGTCCTCACTCGTCGGCTATCGAACAAGCTCAGAGAGGCACGGGAGAATAAGATCGGCGCCTCTACTGAGTATCCTACTCTTGATCATCTCCTCGCCTTCTTACAAGGTCGATCACGACCCATGGAGACTCTGGAGGTTGGATCGCAGTCGCTGTCCTCGACCAGCTCATCTCGTCCTTCTCAGACCAGCGTACACACGCGATCCATGACCAAGAGCTCCGCCAAGGTCAACCAGATGCCAGCCTCTCGTCCTTCTCAGCATACAGCTCAGAAGTCTCAAGGTCCAGCTCTAATACAGTCCACACACTCAACCTCTTGGGCTGATGCTGGGTACCCTTGTTCGTACTGCAAGAGGGACCATTACATCGTCTCTTGCCGCGAATTCAAAAATTTATCGCCCATTGCAAGGAAGGAAGTCATTGACAAGCTCTACCTGTGCTACAACTGTCTGGGGAAGCACAGCATCAGAGTCTGCCAAACATTTCGCACGTGCAGGACGTGCCAAGAGAGGCACCACACACTCCTCCACCTTGATCGCTCTCGCTGGCAGAATCAGATTCGACCTTCTCCTCAAACGACACAGTCTCAACCTCAGTCTCAGATTCATCAAGCAACCAGACCCGCTCAGTCATCAGTCATTACTTATAACAGTGCTGGGGAGGTCATCCAGAGTACGCCAGCTGCTACATCACAGTAATGAGGAGTACAATCTCAAACGGCCATCTCTTGCTCTGCTCATAGCTCTTCTCATGGTTCTCGACCTGGAGTCCTACTCGCTACTAGTCTAGCCCTGCTCATTAGCCCTGATCATCGTTCTTCTCTGCGAATTCGTTTACTCTTGGATCCAGGCTCAGAACTATCGCTCATCTCGGAATCTCTCGTGCGTCAATTGAAGCTGAAGAAGCAGCGTAGCTCAATCCACATTTCTGGTGTGGGTGAGTCGTCGTTTGGGACAACGTCCGGTGAAGTTCATCTCACGCTACAATCGATCTACTCAGCAGAACGCATTGAAGTCACAGCTCACTCTCTTGATCATGTCACATCAACTCTACCGACCTTCTCAGCGGAAAATCTCGACTGGAATCATCTCAAGGATCTGAATCTAGCGGATCCAGATTTCTGAGTCCCTGCTCCAATTGATCTGCTCATTGGCGCTGATGTATTTACTCGAATTATCAAGCCCAGCATAATTAAACAAGGGGCGGATGCTCCAGTTGCTCAGCTCACATCTTTCGGCTGGATTGTGTTCGGCTCAATAGGTCCAGCGCCAGCTCCAACTCGACTTTCTCATCACCTGTTTGCTGTCTCAGAAGTTTCTAATGACCAACTCGAAGACCTTCTCTCTAAATTCTGGATACAGGAGGAAGTCCCTGGAAGGATTGATTCGAACCTCTCAGCAGATGAACTTAGCTGCGAGCAGCATTTTCGTCAAACTCACTCAAGAGACAGCTCAGGTCGTTACATCGTCCAATTGCCCCTCTCATCTCCAGTTTCGTTATTAGGAAATTCTTATTGCCCAGCTCTAGCTTGTCTCCATCGGATAATCGCTAGGATTTCCAAAGATCAGCGCTTCTTTTAGCTCTACTCCGACTTTTTCAAAGAATATGTCGATCTCGATCACATGAGGTTGGTGGTTCGTTCTCTTGTTAGCTCTTCGTCTTCGGTTCAGGTGGAGACCGCTTGTTGTTCTGACGAGACGACCTTGGCACATGAAGCGCAGGCTTCAGGAGGGCTGAGGGTCTCTGAGGAGCTTCGAGTAGAACCATCTGACATTCGCGGGAGTTACTACCTTCCTCATCATGGCGTAGTTAGAGAGAGCAGTGAAACAACGAAACTGAGAGTAGTTTTCAATAGATCAGCAAAGACCAGCTCAGGGAATTCGCTCAACGACATTCTCCATACAGGGGCCAAGCTGCAGCGCGACATTTCTGATGTTCTCCTCTGGACTAGGCAGCACAAGGTCATCTTCATGACGGACATTATCAAGATGTTCCGTCAGATTAGGGTTCATGAAGGTGACTGGCCTCTGCAGCAGATCTTATGGACCGACTCTAATGGAGGATTCTCAACATTTCAATTGACCACCGTCACGTATGGGACTAGATCAGCTCCGTTTCTCGCAAATCGTGTTCTTCTCCAGCTAGCTGAGGATGAAGGATACAGATTTCCTTCGGCCGTCGATCCCATCGTGAAAGGAAGATATGTTGATGATATCTGTGGAGGTGCAGATACGCATGACCAGCTCGTAAGAACAGCTCAAGAAGTTCGCAATCTCTGCGCTGCCGGGGTGCCTTTGGCAAAATGGACAGCAACAGTTCAGCTCTTCTCAGATGGCTCGATCCTGACAGCACCTCCAATGACCAGCAAATCTACGAGCACTCAGAGACGAGGATACTGGGGTTATCTTGGCAGCCCAACTCAGATAACTTCGTCTTCTCAACCAAATCATCGCAGAACTTGACCGTCTCCACGCGGATTATTCTCTCAGAAATTGCTCAGCTCCACGACCCTCTCGGATTTTTCTCTCCTGTAGGCATCAGAGAAAAGATGCTCCTACAGGAAATTTGGATTGAGAAGCTTGGTTGGGATCATGAAGTTTCGTCTCAAATAGCACATCGATGGAATAGCTTTCGTAAGGATCTCACCTCGTTGTCCAACGTATCCATAGCCAGATGGATTGGATTGCTCCAGACCTCCGTTGTTGAAATACACGGATCTCACACGCCTCTCAGTTCGCGATGTCAGCCGTAGTCTTTCTCAAGGTCTTCAATAACAATGAAGAGCCTCGTATCTCATTGGTCTGCTCAAAAACAAAAGTAGCTCCTCTCAAACGGCTGACAATCCCCAGATTAGAGCTCACAGCTGCAGTTCTTCGTGCTAAGCTCGTAAAGTACGTCAAGAATCAACTTGATTTCTCAAACGTTCCGACGTACTTGTGGACCGACTCTTCAATTTCGCTCACATGGATCAGCTCTCACCTTTCCCAATGGAAGGAGTTCCTCAGAAATCGTGTCCAGTTCATTTAAAAATTAACGTATGCTCAGTGGAAGCACGTTCCTGGCAAGGAGAACCCAGCTGATTGCGCATCTCGTGGATTAACCACAGCTCAACTCGCGTCGCACGAGCTATGGTGGCAGGGTCCATCATGGCTGAAGAAGAGCTCATCTCATTGGCCATCTCTGGAATTCTCATCAGTGGCATCAGCTGACCTTGAAGAGAAACCTGGTGTAGTGCTCAGCGTAAAAGTCCAGCCCCCAGAGATCTGGGATCTAGTTCATCGCTATTCGTCGCTTAACAAGCTACTCAGAGTTACTGCAATTTGCCAGCGCTTCATTGCTCATCTCAGATGACTCATCTCGGATGCTCATCTCAGAACTCTTCATGGTGGAACGCAGCTCACGCTTGGTCAGCTCAGACGATCTTACTGGATTGTTGGTGGAAGAGCACCAGTAAGATCATTCATTCTAAAGTGCATTCCATGCGCAAGTCAGCGAGGAATCAGAGCTCAACAACTCATGGGTCAGCTCCCAGTAGTTCGTCTCACTCCTGGCCGTGCATTTCTCAATACAGGAATTGATCATGCCGGTCCAGTATCACTCCGCTCATGGAGCGGACGTGGCCACAAATCTTGTAAAGGATGGCTCGCAATTTTCGTCTGTATGGCTACGTCCGCGGTTCATCTCGAAGTCCTCTCAGATTATACATCTGACGGCTTCATGGCAGCGTATCGTCGTTTTGTCGCTCGGCAAGGGGTCCGTAGGAATTTGTTCTCAGATTGTGGAACAAATTTCCTCGGAGCCGACAAGGAAATAAAAAAGCTCTTCTCAATGGCGTCCAAGGAATCGCACCAGCTTGCTCATCTCTTGCTCAACGACGGTACGAAGTGTTCTTTCAACCCACCAGGTGCTCCTCATTTTGGAGGAAAGTGGGAAGCGGCAGTTAAGTCGGTTAAGTTCCATCTCAAACGAACAATTGGAGAAGACCTGCTCACTTTCGAGGAACTAACTACTCTGCGTTCTCAAATCGAAGCCATGCTCAATTCTCGACCACTTGAGCCTCTCTCAGAAGACCCTGATGACATCTCAGCGCTCACTCCAGGACATTTCCTGATTGGACATGCTCAGACAGCTCTGCCTTCTCTGGATCAATTAAACATCGCTCGTTTAACTCGTTGGCAGCTTATCCAGCAGAAAGTTCAGAGCTTCTGGAATCGGTGGTCCACTAGCTATCTCCAGCATCTCCAGTCCATATCTAAGTGGCACCACCCATCTCACGACATCAAGATCGGCTCTATAGTCCTTCTCACCGACAAGAGATTTCCACCAACGAAATGGCCTCTCGCTAGAGTTATCGCTCTCCATACTGGTAGAGATGGACTGACCTGGGTGGTAACTATCAAGAAGTCCAGCTCTACTCCTCAGCGGCCCATCGCTAAGCTCGCCCTGCTACCAATCTCGATCAGCGACTTCTGATATTCTAGTCCAGCGCACCTAGATCTGCTCAGAAGCATCATGCTGATCTTCGTTAGTTCATCTCGACGGCTGAGTCCACCACTGTTCTGTTCTTGTCCAGACCTCGATGAGGATTTACGCCCTTTATCTTGGAGCCCGGGCTGGAGCGGAAGCCAGACAGTCTAGACCTGCGGAATTCACGCCTCCAATGATTCTGACTGTGCTGGCAATTGATCGTCGCTGATGGACTCTAGTGGTGATATTCACCATCGAGTAATTATTGTCCTGGCTCGATTAATCTCTTTTGTGTTCTAGATCAACTCATGAACGTCAGCAGTTGCTGTCGGCTGGGGAGAATGTTCGGTTTTCTACCGAATTTCCTTACTCTCGCACACACACATACATACACTCATGACCCACTCAGCTGATTGACTTACTCGCTCACCTCAGATGACCAGTGGCCTTTTATCTCTGACACCTGAGGTGCCACTTGATGGACAGGTGTAATTGACCATCGCGATGATCGACACCTTCCACCTTGCGGTTTATCACTCTCTCTCATTTGCATATCGTCGTTCGAGAGTGTTGACGCGCATTTCGCAGAACTTCGCTTCTTTCTCTTTAATTAGACCTGCTCATTATTAGTTCTTCTCAGAACTAACTCGATAATTCACTCAATTATATTACGTATTGCTCAGCTCTTTATTGTGACATTCAAGTGTAATTAGTGACTTTTTTTGACAATTAAACTCGACTTTCTTGACCAACGCCACGCGAGTGATTAAGTGATCCTCTCACGCATCCTCCTGTAATCCGAAAATATCTCGTCCATCTGCTAAAGATATCCCCAAAACCAGATCCCGCATCGAACAACAACATTTTCAAAAAAACCACCGTCTGGCAATTCTGATATATAAGTAGGTTCACTGGGGAAGACTTTGTTTAATTAATATTTGAAATCATTAGTCTGTTTCCATAGTCTCAGATTGCGGTCTCTATCATTACTCACCGAGTCTCCGTAATTTGGGTGTTAGAAATTTAGGTCTCCCAAGATGATGGAAAATTTATTATTGTCGTCTTATTTTTATTTTTCGAATACGGATCATACCAACCAATATGTTTGAAAGAAGACGAATATCTTTCAAAATTGTTTGACCATTTAGCCAAAAAAGTATTATCTGATTCATGTCATTATAATTATAATCCATTATAATCGTTTAGCTCAGTCTATAAGGTCACACTCGTCCGATTATAATTTTCGAGCCATATGACGAAATGTACAATTTCAGTATATTAAGATACCGGATTCGAGGACGCTCTGACGCGAATTGAAAGTGATCGATTTTTGCTGACAGACAAAGACAAATCTCAGTTTTTCATGGACTTTCTATTAAATCATTTAATTTCTTCAAGCTCTTGATAAGTCTTTTTCAACTGTCTAGATTTTATTGTTAATTTGTTTAGCAGGGCATAGTTACAACCTCGAGGATCCTCAAAAGCAACAGAAATCTGAGGGATAGAATATGCCACTTTCTTACCATCATTTCGGACACCAAATATGGCGAAAGCAATATTAAAAGAACGCCTTCTGAAGATGGAACACAAAAAAATTGTCTTGCGAAGATCTTCAAAAAAAAAATCGTTTCATGAAGATTGTGGACAAAAATTTCTT